TTGAGGGCTTAAGGGGTTCTAGGGATCAAAATATTTTTTAGGGTTTATAATTTTAAGATTTATGGTTTAAAATCATCAGTGACATTTTTGCAAATGAACACTTTTAAGTGGCATTTTTGCAAATAGACACCTTTAAGTGACATTATTGCAAATATACACACACAAAATGACATTTTTGCAAGGGGCAATTACAAAAATACCACTTTTTATGTGCACATTTGCAAGAATGCCACTTAGGGGTGTTCATTTGCAAAAATGCCACTAATTATAGATTTATAAAACCTATATCTTAAGATTCTAAATCTTAAAAAATGTTTTGATCCCTAAAACTCTCTAAACCCCTATAACTAAACCCTAATAAAACATAATCAACCCAAATATAAATAATATAAAAAAAAATAATTTTGAAAAAGTGGCATTTTTGTAAAGATTTCAAAAGTGTGGCATTTTTGTAAAGTTGCACTTGAAAAATGACATTTTTTTAAATTTCTCTTTTTGCAATTGTCCCTATATTTATTGATATGGTGATATGCATTTTTTATTGTGGAGACCTAATTAGAAGCTGGTATCTATATGAAAAATAAAATAGAAAAATTAGAAGCTCATACATTTTCCTATGTTTAATCATACAGTCGGAATGATATTATTGCATTTGTAATACTTTTTATTTGTTTTCAGTTAGTTGATTGGGATGCATGTGATATTATTGTGAGATTATAGTATTAGAGAATTTATAAGAGTGGTAGTGGTTCACCAAACTTATGTGTTCTTCTTTGTTTTGTCTTCATGACCCGGACCACATTGAATTATTATTCCTTCAAAGAATGTATCAAATATTTTGTCGACAGATGTCTGGAACTCTACAATTTTCTTCAAAGACCTGGGACTCTAGAGAGATTTGAACAAGAAACTTTATTTATATTTATAAAAAACAAAACAAAAACAAGAGAGAATGCTAGGTAAAATGTTCTTGAAACTTGTTACAAGAAGATGGATATGTTAAATTATCCAAGAAAATAAGTAAACTAAACTATACATCATTTCGAAGATATATAATAATATCCTACATTGAAAACTCATGTATAATCTAACATTTGTATATAAAAATTGTTATCAATTAATTTTAAGTTGGAAACATACAATTAGTCGCATGTATTACAACTTTTTGTAGTTGACAAAAAAAAGTATTACAATTTTTTGATGACTGCAATATATATGATAATTATAAAATAAATGTCACAAATAAATATTGTAAAACTAATTCACTTACAATTTTTTTTTGTATGTAGATTATTTCAAGCTAGGCGAATGGTTTCATGCAGCACTAATGAAAAAAAAAAATTATATAAAAATATTAAGACACTTCGTATGTCTATATATTATGGGGGAAATTATAAAAATGCCATTTTTTGTATGCACATTTGCAAAAATGCCACTTAAGGATGTCCATTTACAAAAATGCCACTAATTATAGATTTATAAAGTTTATATCTTAAAATTCTAAACCCTAAAAAATGTTTTGACACCTAAAACCCCCTAAACACTTAAAACTAAACCCTAATAGAACATAATTAACCCAAACATAAATAATATAAAGAAAAAATAATTTTGAAAAAATGGCATTTTTGTAAAGATTTCAAAAGTGTGGCATTTTTGTAAAGTGGCACTTGAAAAGTGGCATTTTTTGAAATTTCTCTATATTAT